TATAAACAATTAAAAATTGATAAAATTCAAAAATATATCACGTGACTGTAAACGCGCCATGATTGGTCAGCATACTTGTGACGTCATAATGTTAAAGCAATTTCATAATAGTACAGTGTTTATGGCTATTATCTTTAACTTGATAAAAATATCTCAAATTTATTAGTGAAAAACGATTTGAAAAGTTTATTTCGACTATGTGTGATAAAGGATTTATAAAAGCAAAATCGGATAATATTCCTGATGTTAATATATTTTTATGATAACTAATTTTTTAAAAAGTGCGGTTTAATTTTGCTGAAGTTCGAGGTGCTAAGACATCAAGGTAAGTCTGTCAAAAAATACTATTCTAAATGAAAATTAGTATTTATTCTCTATTAAATATAATTAATAATTATTTCATTAAATCATTATTAATAAAATGTTATTATAACATTATAAAAAAAACAAAATAACATATATGTACTTTAAAAATTTAAATGTAGTCTGATACAGAACCTAGAATGTTATAAAATTATGAAAATATCTATTAATTGAAGTCCAATTATTAGACAAACATATATATAGATTTACTATTTAATCGCTTTGAATTATCAATTAAAATTTTTTAATGCTACGATTCTAAAGGTTATGATTTGGAGCCCAGGTAAAAAAATTAATTATTGAACTATACTTATTCGATTTATACACTTAGATAAATAATAATTAATAACAATACTATTATGAAAACTTACAACGAAATGATCTTCACAACAAAAAAAAATGATTTTGTTTTTGAATAATCTCGATGCACTGCTTGAAACCATTTCTTTCGACGTTTTTTTCGTCTTGTGGAACATTTAAAAACATTTTTTCAGGAGTTGTTTTTGTAGTCTTTGTACATAATGGTACAAAACTTTTGATTATTTAACAATGCCAACAGAATTTACTAGATAAAAACTCAAAACACTGTACTAATTATTATATCTCTGTATGCTACAATGAGCAAAAACTAACATTGTGACGTCACACGCGCTCGGGTTTATTCACGAGCTGTCGGCTTGTCTTCGGTACTGAATTTAAAATTTAATTTTTATTTTGAAATAACTTTTTAAATATTGCAAAAAAAAAATAAAATAAAAATAGTTTTGTTTTAAACTTATATATGATCTTTCCATTTATCACAAAAAAAAAAAATAATTCAAAAACCCAATTAAGATCTTAAACAGGGGCAACTTATTCTTAATACGTCTACAAGCAATCCAGAATATAGGCATCTCCTATATACAGGGTGACTGGTGAATTACTATCAATATTTGAGGAGAGTACTCGGTACATGATTCTCATTCGAATTATGTAAAAAAAATAGTTACTTAATTTTTGACCAAATTTCCGTATAAATAAATAAAGTGTGGACACGTTCCAAGTGTTCCAAGTGTGGACGCGTGCGGCGGCGTGCTGATACAACACCACGCCGCCGCACGCGTGTGTGTGTGTGTGTGTGTGTGTATATACCTAATCTGTAGGGTGTTCATACGATGCGTAATTAATTACATAACTTTTGGTTAACTTTACTTAGAAGTTTATTAATATTTATGTTATATTAATTTTTATTCTGTCATATATGATCGTCAAATATCACGTCCTCAAGTATCGATAGTAATTCACCAGTCACCCTGTATATCAATGAGCCCGATATTTAGCTTGTCTACACTAATTTTCCTCTGCCAAATAACAAATTTAGTTTTTCTAACCAGGCACTCACTGAACGTCTTACAATTCGTTTACCGGTTAATGATCTCTATTTTAGAACTATTCTGCCCCTTCAACTATCTTTTTTGCTAAGTTATGTCGCTTGTTTTAGATTTCTGACGAATAACTTGGGATTTCGATTTCATCCGTTACAGAAACTCCATTTACAGTTCTCTCCGCATATATCTATTAGTTAGCCATTCCACATGAGGATGTTTGAAGTAACAACTTCTTATTGTAGGTAAACAGGTAACGTAACGTAACGTGACGCGTAACGGCGCCACTGAGTCTCGTTTCCCTTTCTCTCACGTATACGGCATTAGTATTACACGCATGCAGCAGAAGTGTTGCAAATTAATGAATATAACGCTTAAGTAGTAACCTAAAGCTACATAATTCCTATATTAGATAGTTTAAGTCATCACTTCTATCAAGCGTCACGAGACGTACATTTTTTATTAGAAATAATAATGAAAAGTTAGTGAGTGTAGTTGTGATATCATAAATACAATTTAAGGTTTGTTTGTATATCACAATAACACAGCAAATATATTTTATTTATTTTTTTTATTTTTAGTTTATTGGTAATCCAACAGCGTTACAGTGATCTTAAAATAATAACAATACAACCATAAATAAGGCCAATTTAGGATTACACAAATTTTCATTTATAAAGTTACACTCGAGCATACAATTAATAATAAAAACAAAGGAAAAAAAAAAGCAGAGCAAATGGTATTACATACAAAAGTGTGTGCTTGTGTGTGTGTGTGTGTGTGCGTGTGTGTGTGTGTGTGCGTGTGTGTGCGTGTCTGTGTTTTTAATATACTATTACTATACTATCTTTATTATTTCTTTCTTAAGTTGGTTTCTTGAAATATGGTTCAGGTCCAGATGTGAATAAAAGCTATTATATGTTTTTGCTAAACGAATAGGTATTGAATTTTTGGCGTAGTTTGTTTTCCTCTTGGGCACGTGCAGCAACGCCGTGTGACGAGTTCTGTATCTCGGTACTTGTAGCGATAAGGCTGACAATAGGCAGGGACAATCAAGTTTTCCAGTCAGTATTGCTTGCAATAGTAACATGTCACTCTGTTTTCGTCTGTCTTCAAGAGAATCAATATATTCTAGAATATTATTGTCCTGAAAAATATTTCTTACTTATTTTAAAATTTTATTTTAAATTCTTTTTAGTAGAGATACAATCGAGGTCAAAAGGTCTTTAGTAGAAATCATTCCTTATTGTCATTAGGCACTACTTAAATGGGAAAAGACTTGGAATAAAGTTAAATAGTTGTTGCTTTTACTGTAAAATAACTATTTCAATATAGCAAAGTAATATTATTTTATAAAAAATAACTAGTATTTCACCTTTAACTGGTGTTTTTTCCGTAAGTAAACTTTGTTCGCTTCCAAAAAAACTGATATGATTTTGATAGTTCAAGATCCGGAAGAAAAATTTAATACATAAAATCAATTCCATCAAGTCATTTCGAGTTACTTTTTTATCTTCTTGAATACCAGTAACCTTGGAATATGCTTTTGTGTCATATAATATTTGTAGGTATCTTAAGTTATGAAAATAACAATATTTTTTTTTAAGTAAACTTTTCTTTTATTTTGAAGTATTCATATAAAAACTTGTTTTTTTCTACTGTCAATTTGTTTTTGACTATTTATATATCGTTGGACACATTCATTTGGATATAACAAAAGGTTAGATTAAAAATCCAGTATCGTAAAGAGTATTGACCTCTAACGACCCTCATATGGTGAGAAACTCTTACCACTGGTGATCACGTGTATGGTAATATATATCACGACAAAAAACTGTTCAGAACACGGCTCTAACTAACCGGACTTTTAACATATCTCATTCGGGTAAAATCTTGCAACACGTGAGCTATAAACAAAAATATACTCCATAAATACATATTTACAGACTTGCACATATTGCACGTTTAATAACCTAACCTAAGCTTCTAAAAACAATATGGAGAATTTGTCTCAAAATTACCCAGTGTTTATTACAGTAAATTAAAATAAACATACACATATAAAAATATATTTTTATATAATCGCATTTAGAATGAAGACCAATAAAGTAAAATAAAATTATTGGGAAAAGACGCTTGTTTTGTAGAGATTTAAAAAAAAGCATAAGTATATTTTTCATTCTTTTGTGTCTATCTCTAGGACGTTAAGTCTCTATATTAGGAACTGCTTTATTTTAAGTACAAAAAATCAAACATGCGCGTAGAGGTCAATTAAATGTACAAAAATGATATTTTAATCATTTTAAACTATAACTTTTCAGTAATACTCTGCATATTGCACGGCGACTCTTTATTATTAACTAGCTTTTGCCGCGACTTCATCTGCGTGGAATAGTGACTTCCGGCAGATTTTTGGTTCTTCCCACATAGTTCCCGTTCTTGCGGGGTTTTCGGAATGGTCGAGTTCCCGTAGAATTTTCAGGATAAAACCTATGTTTTTTTTTTCACAATGAAGTACTCTTAACCAACAACATTTTTTTTGTTTATTTGAATAAAGATTAATATTATTATGTTGATACAACTTAAACAAATTATTTCGACCAAATTAGGTACCATAAAAACGGTTTTTTGTGAGTTAATCTTAAAAGATAGACATATACTGTCGCGGACTGTTTTTTAGATCATTAAAAGAGCTATTATTCTTTAGTACATATTTTTTGTGTATCTTGAACCGTTTTCACGGCGCACGCAACGGAAGGCTTCAAAGATGAAATGATTTCTCCCGTTTTTTACACATTTACCACTATATCTTTGCTCCTATTGGTCGTAGCGTGATGTTATATAGACCACAGCCTTCCTCGATAACTGAACTGTCCAATACAAAAAGAATTATTCAATTCGAACCAGTAGTTTCGGAGATTAGCGCTTTCAAACAAACAAACAAACAAACTCTACAGCTTTATAATATTAGTATAGATTAAAGTTTTATTATAATTAATCCTAAAGATAATAATTCAAGAAATATTTGAACATATTTTCTATGTATTTTATTTTTATTCACTGTCCAAGTCAAAGATCCCATATATTACTAAAAAGCTCTCTTCGAGTTAAGCAAACTGCAATTTAGTAAAGTCTTTTCCTCAAACAATCTTTTTATCAAACATAAATAGCTAACTTATATGCAAAGTCGTAACGGGTTTTACCAGGAGTTCGATAACCGTGAGGTATAAAATGTTGAGGATTCAGTATTAGGACCTCACATCATCATAAACAATGAAGAGTAAACACATACTTCTGGCTAGTTTTATACTAGCTCAGCTGATTTATGTCAACGGCTTTGCGTGGGCCGTAGTCGGTGTAGCTACCACCGCTCTCGGTATGATTGTTAAAATCATCGATCAAACTCAAACTTGGACGGTGGAGGTCTACAACGAAGGAAGGCACCATGCTCACATGTGGTGCGCAGATAAGAACAGAAGAATCGGGGGAGACGATGGAGTATGGGTCAAACCAGGAGATAAAATAATGTTCTCATTTAGAAAAAGTGCGAGCGCTCAGTTCTGGTGTACTATGGACTGGTACGGACAGCGAGTGGGATGGGATGTTTACGTCCACAACTGGGATGATGCTCCGAACCCAACGAAATGGTCCATCAGGGATGATGGGGTCTACGATCAATGGAGGAATAGGAAGTGGAGGAACCTGAACAGTTAAGAGAAACATTACTTCCAAGAATAAATACATCACTTTCCTCAAAACAACATTTGACATGAATTTGTATAATTTTCTTAAAAAAAAAATAAAATAATTAAATATTTTTATGTGTGCAAATAAACGTTTTGTTTTGTTTTATTGAAAGTTCATAAAACACTAGATTAAAATCTTTGGAATAAAGTGTAAAGGTGTAGTTAAAAATTAATACAGTTCTTTTAGAAATCATATTCACTGAAAAAATTCGATACGTGTAAATATACAAAAATATTAATATATTTAAAAACATTGATGTCATCAAAAATATTTCAACAAATATAGGGATTATTATATGCAGCAGAGTCCAGCATGAACTCTACGTGTAAAGGCTTTTAGTTGTATTATAATCTTAATTTAAATAAAATTATATAACATATTATTGTCAGGAGAATTATAAACAACCATACTACTTATACTTTATGTTGAATTTTTTATTTTGAGAACGACCTTATTTATGACCAAGTTTCTTTTTTTAATAATATGATTAACTGAACTATTCTGCTAACTGAGATATTCTGCTACTTTGTGACATCATATTGAAAACAAAAATATCTCGTGAAGCATTTCTATAAATACTTATTTTTCTTTGTTTTATCTCTTTCTATTTTCAAGGTTATCTTGATACGTAATAAAAGTATTTTATCCTGTTTATATCATACACAAAAGTATTGATTATTTTAACTATTAATCAAAACATAATAACATTAATTGGACAAAATAATTTATTTATTATTTTTGTTATAGAGCCAGTATACACCAGACTGCCCACTTTATTCTTAATGACTACTATTTCTCATATACATTTGTAGGTTTGGTTCTCGTGTCTTGATTTAGTAAGGTCCTATAGCTCGCGGCATTCTCACTCGAAGATACACTGCCTCTTACTACACCTACACTAACATTTTAAATTTCTTTACAGTCATTTATACATATTACTTTTAAAACTTGTTAAACATCCTGAGATAATTTAAATAAAATCTTATTTAACATTTTACTAATAAAAGTTTTAATATTTTTCATGTAATTTAAAACGATCCTTAAAAAGATAAATAACTTTCCTATTTGTGATTTACAGTTGAGTTGAGTTAACTAACAAACATTTAATGGAAAGTTATTGTTAAAATAGAGATAGTGTTTGTTCTGCTAACACGCTCATACTCAGCAACAATTCACTTACTGTGCGACGTGTGTGTAATGCGACGTGTGATTATGATTGAGGAAAATTAATATTATAATACATATCTCGTTTATAATAATAAAAAAGGTATAATTTTGTCTGTCTTCATTAAGTGTTCTAGGCACATTTGTTGTTATGCAGTCAATGGGGTATACATATATGTATCTTTAAAGGTGACTTCATTTCTATGAGATGTCTCAAATAACAATCGGATGTCACACTTTTAGTAACAAGAACTCTAATAATTATAACAGCAACTAATCTAAACGTAAGTGAAAGAATTGTTTGTCTTCTTACGATGGTTACTTATTATAATTTATAACATTTTCATAGATCACATCTCAATATTCATACTTTCATAAACTGAGAAATACAGTAGTCAGTGGTGGCCTAGTGGTCGCCTCTCATGCACGAGGGCGCGGGTTCGATCCTGGCAAGTACCAATGTGATATTTCAGAGTCATAATATGTAGTTTCTAAAAGTATTTAGACATCACTGATTAATGCTGATTCCCAAAGAGGGTTGATGTCAGGCAGGCGGCCGGTCGTAAAAACTATTAGCCAAAACTATTCACATCATGTAAGGCAGACCCTGGCTATAGCTGGGAAATTGCCAGGAACAAGAAATACACTGAGAAATACAATTACGTATGAATAAAATTTTACGGGTAATCTTCTATATACAGGGTGACTGGTGAATTACATACTATCAATATTTAAGGAGCACATTCGGTACATGATTCTCATTCGAATTATGTAAAAAAAATAGGTACTTAATTTTTGACCAAATTTCCGTATAAATAAATAAAGTGTGTATACGTTCCAAGTGTTCCAAGTGTGGACGCGTGCGGCGGCGTGCTGATACAACACTACGCCGCCGCCGCGTCTGTGTGAGTGTGTGTGTATACCTAATCTGTAGGGTGTTCATACGATGCGTAATTAATTACATAACTTTTGGTTAACTTTACTCAGAAGTTTATTAATATTTATGTTATATTAATTTTTATTTTGTCATATATGATCGTCAAATATCACTTCCTCAAATATCGATAGTAATTCACCAGTCACCCTGTATATAAAAATGGATTGCTGTTCCTTAGTCTCGCTAAAACTCGAGAACGGCTGAACCGATTTGGCTAATTTTAGTCTTGAAATACTCCTGGAAGTCCAGGGAAGGTTTAAAAGGTGAGAAAAATTGATTCATTACTGGGAAAACCATAAAAACAGCCCTTTTCTATTTCCCATACAAAAGTTTTTTTTGACATTAGATTTGACAACTAACAAATATATCAATTCTGTTTGATTGAAACAGAAAAAACCTGATTATTTATAGCCTGTAAGACGGAATAGAGTTCGACTGGTCAGCTACACCTACATATATTACTCTTGACCAAACTAACGCGGACGAAGTCGCGGGCACAAACTAGTATTATATATACACAGTGATTCGTTATGCTTTATAAATGAGAATTTACAAAAAAATATTATTCGTTATAATAAGTATGTTTGAAACCAAAATATAATACTTGAATTTGGATATTAATTGTGAAAATATTATTTGCTCATAACATATGTAAATATCAAATACAAAATAAAACTATGGTTATCAATTAAGTTAATAGGAGGGAAAATAATGAGAGCAATTAGAGTGGCAATATATTTTACATACATTACTTTATATTTATTATTACTTGATGATTAATATCATTTTTATTTATTTTGATCGAGTTATCTATGAGGAAAATACAGCAAAGAAACCTGTATAAAGTGGAGGTTGATGTTGTTGGCAAAACCTGAATATTTAAAATAATCAATGAACGGAATGCAGTCGTTATTTTTATAGTTGAGAAAAGTATTTACGATCATTAAGTATAATGATTTCTAAGACTTGCGAGTATTCATTAAGTATGTCGATTAGAGCGATCCTCTTACTGATTAGCTAACAATCCGTAATGATCAACACTAATCTTAGTGGAGAATATGTAATTGATATGATATTAATTTTTATAAGAAATAATGTTTAAACGAGTCTAGACCCTCTAAATACTCAGCAACAATTAACTTACGAGTTTACCGATACACAAAGAGGTTTATTTTTCATATAGGTACACATTCCGATGAGATTTAATACTTTCACCAGTATTCATTTAAATGAAACTAATATTGTTCGGGTTATTACGTATATTATTATTTTAAACTACACACTCCCGACGTTTCGGTTACGTTTCAGCAATCGTGAATCAGATCTCGTCTGCCCGTGATCACGAAATTTCGGCAATATGTAATTTTAAATTAAAAAATACGCTTCGTAACTCGAGTAATATTAGTTTCATCTACATTCTGAGTCGGAGCCATACTAAGGCAAAATTTCAATAAAATTTACTCAATAATTTTTCTTCAAAGACCATTAAAATATTCCAAAAATAAAACGAAAAATCTTTTCGAATTTGAAGTTTAAGTAGGATATTCTTCAAATCAATACAGATATATAGTATATGGGTAAAAATCATTCAAAAATGATTTAAATTATTAAGTTTAAACTGGGTTACAACGGACTCTGTGATCTGTTAAATTGGTATTCTGTTCTAAATTATTGTAAATAATTTGTGGCTACTTAAGTTCTGCTTTAAACGATTGACATCGTATTTATGTTTAGAAGATATAGATTGTTGAAATTCTTTAGACAAGGATGTGTATGGCTAGAAAAAACTGTTTTATAATTAGTATATTAATAATAGTTTATGATTTAGAATCATTGATCTCTAATTTTATTTTTATATTCACAAAACTAATAAGCTATATCAAAAATAAAGTTTCCTAAATGCAGGGAACTAATACAAATAGGCTTTAAAACAATTCTGCTGCGCATTTCAAAGACACAGATTATTATTATAGGCGTATAAATATCTAAATGCTCATAGTCCCTGGACTCCTTCTAAATGAGGAAATGCTAACAAATTGAACTATTATAATGCTATTATGAAACGTAATCCCTCCCAGCATGTGTACAAGCCTTGTTTAAAGTAATTGGGAGGAAATGTCACAAAAGCATCGAAGTTACCCACACATGGACCGAGTATCCGTTTCTTACCAATTTGACAATAATAACTTCATGTAAAACACGTTAATCTTAACAATTATTAATCTAATAAATAACTTTAAATTTATAAGAAATATGATTTTCCTTTTGGATAGTTTGAAATACATTTTAATACATATGAATAAAATTATCGTCGAGTTACACTCGTGCGAGGTTGGAGCGATTTGCTTGTTATATTTCATATAGCTATAAATATAATTGCACATAGTATTTGTGTACCATGAGAAACATTTGTCTTTCCTGTCAAAGTTAATATGTTTACAACTGGACAATAACAATACATATATTAAGTATTAACAATTATTTTACAGCAAACAGAAACGTTATTGTCGTGAAATTCACGTTATCGTGCCACATCAACGAACGTGTCTCTAAATAATGAATTGTGTTTAGTGTGACCAACCAGTTATAGATTTGATATACGAAGGAAATTATAGTTCAGTACTAAGACATCTATAATTCATGGTAAACGTATTTTATTGATACAGTTTTCCTTCTATTAGACAAATGTTTAAATAAAAAACCCTATTTGAATTACAATTACGGGTTTAACCATGACTTGATAAGCTAAAAGTATTTAAAGGAAGACCTCCAGATACTTAAAGTCATAACCGAACTAGATATGAAGAGTAAACACATACTGTTGGCTGGTTTGATACTAGCTCAGCTGATTTATGTCAACTGCTTC